AACATGTCGTGTAAAAAGTGATATTCTAATGTAAATCGAACATTTCGATAGAGAATATCATTTAATATATTTTTAAATATTTAAATGTTAATTATGGTAATATTTTAATATTTAATAGGAATTTTATTGTGATTAGACTGACAAGATTTAAACAATAAACAAAGATTATTATTATTATTTTTTGCGTCAATATCATTAAACAATATCATTTTGTGTCGGCCTACGAAACTAACTGGAACTAATTTGTGTGTAGAATCTTCTTAAGCAGGTAATAGTTATTCATCTGAACAAAGGAACTTAACCCGAATATTCAGTGCTAGCCACTGGACCCTTTCTGTGGCAGCGGAATTAAGTCTTCTAGAATGCATTTTAATATTATCCTACTATCTACATCTCTAACTCCCAAGCACACACGAAGTGGACCAGGACAAGAACATCGACAAGAATACGAAGATTAATAAATGGAATAAGGAATAAAACACAGAGAAAATAAAATGATCACGATAATCCACTGATGAAAACGGAAACGGGAAAACGGAAATGGGACAACTCTGCGAAGACAGAGGAACTGCTAAAGTTTCCACGCGTGCCGTTTTTCTTAATCTAAAAGCCATCACCGTCCCTGAACGCCGTTCTTATCTTCGGTAGTTGCTAGAGTTGAAGGTAATGCTTCGATCAGCATGCCAAAACTATGTTAATCCTTTTCTCAAGTAAGAGAAAGACATTCCATGGCAGGCCTTCTATTTCTCGGTGCAGTCTAAATTGCCTCTTCCAACTAATAAATACCGAATACCGACACGACGTGGCGAGTGTCACCACAATTAACAAACGAACGGCGTAGGACGGCATTTCTCGCTTCCGCGTTGTTTAAGGAATACCAACCTAACCTTTCTTTTTTTTGGGGGGGGGGGCACAAACCAAATGTAAGAACATCTACGTTATCACCGAGTCTGCGCAGAATCTAAAGATACAACTGCTAATCAAACCCAAATATGGGTGTAATATGTGATAAAGGCGTACGTTTTCGCGACTTATTCAAAATGATCGGGAAAAACATATTTGCGGGTGCTTCCACTATTTCCCGGTCACAGTTTTGTAACAGCCGGTACATAGATTTTCTACTAGGATTACAAATCTGAGTATAAATATTTACGATGAAGCTTTGATCCAAGGGCTAAAAACCAAGAATCTGGACTTTTTCAAATTATGGATGATATTTTTTTTCAACAGGCTATTAGTTTGGAAAAGACTATTTTAATTTACATAGTCTCGCATTTAAATTAATGACGGTCTAAATTTTTGGATCACTGAATGCAACACCTAACATTACAGTCAAATTATATCCAGACCTGAATCGTAAAGAAACGAGAACAATTCTTTCAGTAGCCCAAAGTACGCTAAAAAGGGAGGATCCAAAATTTTATTTTCGCTATCTCTGTTTCATTTATCCCTGACGACCAGGATTTTATCTTTTACTTGGGTTTACATTATTATGTTGCAAGTGGAAAATGTTTCGCGGCCTATATTAGACCTAGAACACGGACCCTTTTGTTCTGACGAAATTTTTAAAACACACTATTGATGGACTTGTTTGGATTCACTAACTAAAACACAATTATATTTGGGATGTTATTATACATTTCTCCAACACATCCGAATTCGGTGAATGGTTAGGTTAGGTTACCTTTGGTTATTTTATTTATTTATTTAGTGTTCTGTCTGACGACAGGTCCATATGAACAGGATCCTTCCATCCTGCTCTCGGCCTGGGACCTGTTCATATACGTTCTTGGCAGATGATCCAGAAGGGGTTTGCCATTGCCTTCTTCTGTGTGTGAATGGAGTAATTGTTGGGATGCCACGGACGAAAACTCCGTGTTGCCTAGACCACCTCATCTTATTATTATTTAGTGTTCTGTCTGACGACAGGTCCATATGAACAGGATCCTTCCATCCTTTTCTCGGACTGGGACCTGTTCATATAAGTTCTTGGCAGATGATCCAGAAGTGATTTGCCATTGCCTTCTTCTGTGTGTGAAGGGAGTAATTGTTGGGAAGCCACGGAGCAGGATTACAAGGTCAGCGTTCTAACCGCTAGACCACCGTGGCGGTACCTTTGGTTAGTTTAATATAATTTAATTTACGTTGTGTTTTGTGTCAAGTCTGGCTAGCAAAAATAAATCACGTATTTCGACGGAAGTTAGTAATAAATGACGCCATGTAGATACTGGCTAGTTTATATAATTAAGCTTCAATTTTGTTACAGTAATAGATAACTACCAATTTCAACGTTCCCTTCGCGAAGACAATTTCTTCATACTACCCATCCTTGTTTTATATTACTGCCCTACTCTGCTGATACTACATTACGAATAAAAAGTTAGAGAAATAAGGCAGGAAAGTTTTCGCGATCACATAAAACCATCCAAAAGTACAGTGGATAAAGTTAAGTTCTACAAGGAAGTAAAACAGGCCTCTTTCTGCCCCGCCCTCCTACCCGTAAAGTTTTTTTCTCCTCAAAGTTGGTGGGCGGCGACGCTGTAATGTAACGAACGTCATATAACCAACTGATTTTGATTCACTCGTCTATCGATAACTATCGATACTGGCCAGTCGGGCGCCAACATTTGTCCTTCTTCCCATTAGAGATAAAAACTCCCACCGCTTGCAAAGATGTGATTGCAATCTATCAAACACTTAAAAGAAGGGAACTGAGTAGAGATAAAGGACACGTGCTACCGTGCCTATTACAATTGTGGACAACCTGCAAGCCACGAGCCTTATGTGGCCAGATTACCATCACAACATAAACGTAACAGTGCTACCACACTATCTCGTAGCAATACTGTATATTTATGTTCTAAGATTGTTTAACTGCTCAGATGTTTAGCGTTCAATGAGATAATATGACCGTGTACGGAGGACTAATGACTGGGGAGGGGCAGTGTCATAGTTCGGTATTATCCCGTATGAAAACATGAAGGGTTATACGACGTAGCCTAACACCCAGGAAGAAAATGGTGTGAACTTTTAAGCAACTTTCGTTTTCAATAAATATTAACATTGTTTTCTGGGTCGAGGTGGCGACATTAAAGCTGATTTTCATTCAGCGATCTCTGCCGGAAACGGATATCATGTCTAAATTTTCAAGGTTTACTTGCATCGATAACTACTGGGATCTTTCCATGAATTATCCCCTCCCGAATCTCCAAAAGCAATTTCAAACGTATGTTTGCTCGTGACGCACCATAAAATATCACAAGTAGCAACATCTGTTGGACACTTTGAAAATTAATGTACATAGTTCCAAGAGAGTCCGCTAGAGAGCAAACGTTTCTTGAAGGTAGACTTCTATACAAACTTTCTCTTTAGTTATTGTTCATCAAGTGTTTAACATAATCCCATATTCTTTTTTCGTAATATCAGTGTGTGACGTAATATATTAGTACTGCAAATTACAAATATTATTTTGTTCACATCCCTTCAACTGGCGGAACTAATGCCAATGGAACGAAACTTGTAAATCCAAAGATTACAATACAATGTCGACCTGACGAACTTCGTCAACCGTTGCCAACTTTTCTGGGAAGGACTGATTTTTTGAGCTAACTCTTAACCAAAAGTAAAATGGCAAATTGTAATGTAGATCTTACAATGAATCCAGAAATCCTTCCATCAGTCAAAAAAGAAGAGGCGTTCAACGAATTTTATACCGAAGTAAGACATAAACTGCAATTGTCTTATTACAGGCTAGACCTGTAAGCCATTATCAACGCTCAAATGTTTGGAATTTCAAATTATTGTAGGTTATGAGAAAATCTGGCAGCCAACAAAAGTAATGCACAGATGTTTCCATGTAAATTAACGGCTAATTAAAGCTGAAGGAAACTGGGAGAAAAACAATTTAGTATACATTTTTCATTCATCTTTTAGGTCAAGGAGATAGAAAAACGTGATTCAGTTTTGACACCTAAACAGCAAATTGACAGGTTGCTTCGTCCAGGATCAACATATTTCAACCTGAATCCATTTGAAGTTTTGCAGGTTGACCCTGACGCCCCTCTAGATGAAGTTAAAAAGAAGTACAAACGGGTAAAAGTGTAACATATCTCAAATATAAAATAATGCATGTAACAGGGTTCTTTCTCAAATAGTCAGCTTATTTTCATACTGTTTACCATCAATTTTAATAGTATTTACATTTTCCTGTTTATTATCAGAAATCGTTTAGTCGTGTCCACATGCACACAGCATACCTTTGTGGAGAGATTGCTAGGATAATGCAAAATTTGGAAATCTTCTGTTATGTATAGATTTTTCAGTGAACTTTACCCAGACTTGATGTAGACATGAGCCCTAGGTAATACTGATTCCCTGTAGAGGTAAATTTTTACTCTGAATCATTTGTTTAGGCCTGGGAAATGGCTGTTTATGTTTGAAATATTTTCTTTGTGCTTTAGCCTAACACAGTTTGGTATAAATGTATTGCACGTTGGACATAATTATATACAGCAGTAAGACCTTTTTGTGCTTTTCTTTTTGCCAGCTTTCCATTTTAGTGCATCCAGATAAAAATCAAGATGATCCGGACCGAGCACAGCAATCATTTGAAAGTTAGTAATAAAAGTGTCATATTATTGCTTCTGAAAAATATTATTTTCTTGATGGAGTGCATATTATTTAAGGAAACAATTCTAAACAATTTCAGTAATCAACAAAGCTTGGAAAACACTTGAAAATGAAGAGACAAGAACGAAGTGTTTGGATGTGATAGAGGAAGCAAAAGCTCGGACTGATCATATGGTGAGATAGATACAATAATCTCCATTTAGCACAGCATGTTTTTAGTAACCCACAAAACAAAGAGTATAATAAACTTCTCGCTGAATTGTAATAAGTGCTCACATATTAAAATTATAACAGCACTTGTGCTGGATCTGCCAGGTAATTACTTACTTTAGCTTCAGCTTTCATTTTTACGTTGTTTGGCATTTACTTTTAGGGTATAAAGCAAACTACTCACCTTTGTCTAGTCCTGAGAAGATTGTGTGGGGCTATACATTCACTCCTCCATATGTATTTTACATTTCATGTAAACAGTTGTTCTTACGATACCCGAGTGATATCTATTGGTGGTGCTTTTAGACATTCAGATTCCAAGTTCACACCTGTAGATCTGTAACAAACAATTAGGAACATTATTGCTTAAAAACAAAGTATACTTAATCAGAAAGTGATGTATCATGCAGGATGTTACAATTTAAATAAATTATAACTCTGAAATGAATGAAGTTGTGGATATTATATGAATCACATTATGTTGCCTGGTTCATTTTCCGTGAATTTGTGGATATTATATGAAGCACATTATGTTGCCTGGTTCATTTTCCGTCATCTTCCGTTCATGGGGCAGGGTAAAAATGGCAGATTTCACCAGCAGGGTGCAACATGTGTTGTGATTTGGAGAATTGCATTCTGTGACCACTTGTAGCAGCTGTATTGAGCACATATAAAAATATAAATTGCAAAACAGATATGAAATTTGCACCAATGTGTTGTTCTTCGTAACGTATCTGCAGCTTTGTTCCTTCGAACATTATTTCTGTCATCTTCCGTTCATGGGGCAGGGTAAAAATGGCAGATTTCACCAGCAGGGTGCAACATGTGTTGTGATTTGGAGAATTGCATTCTGTGACCACTTGTAGCAGCTGTATTGAGCACATATAAAAATATAAATTGCAAAACAGATATGAAATTTGCACCAATGTGTTGTTCTTCGTAACGTATCTGCAGCTTTGTTCCTTCGAACATAATGTCTTTAAATTAGGGCCTGTGACTTGCCCTGTCTTTAGTAGAACTAAATTAAATTATAAAAACAGTTCAAATTTAAATGGGAAAGTACTTTAATGTAACAATGTAGCTGAGACTAAAGCAGTAGGTCCCCCTTGCCGACGTATCATCATCATCCTACCGCTCATGGTAGATAGAGTCCAGTTATCACCTCAAAAATTGATTCCTACATCACTGAGGCAGGCAGCAGTCAGGAAGGTGAACTTAATTATAACAGGGGGCATTACCTATAACATATATGTCTTTAGACGTTGTATCAGCAGATCGGATTGTTCTAGTAACTTTATGGCCAGATAGATAATTATTATCTAGGTAAGTGAAAAGCGGAAGAAGTTGAAGCGCGAGGGAAAGGAGCAGCGAGTGGATGAAGACGACCCTGGAAACTATAAACATGCTGTGTACGTGATGACAATGAAGCTGTTTGCTGACATGGAGCGCAAGAGGAGAGACCTCGAGCAGAGAGATATGGAGGAAAGAAAACGCAAAAGAGAACAGGAAATAGAAGAAGAGGAAAAGGCTACTATAGAAAAAGAATGGCAGAAAAATTTTGAGGTAGGAAATGTAAATTGTCCTAGTAGCAATATGAGTGAGTCTGTGTTTGATCAGCAAATGCTGTCAAGTTTCCAAATCCTTATTTGTATTCTGCTCTTTTAAATGGAACCCATTAATATTGCTGCAACACTCTCAAATGTTCCCGTAGGCACAAAAATGGTTGGGGACCACTGATGTAGAATGTCATCTACATATTATTACATGATATAAACTTGTGCCATGTTGTATACAAATATTTATATTCAGGAAATCTTTTGGTTATGTCATGTACAGCTTGAAATTTTTTTAAAAATTTTATGCTATCTGGCAAATGTATACATATAAGTTGTTTATTTCAGGAATCAAGACAAAACAGAGTAAACAGCTGGAAGGCATTCCAGGCTGGAAGTTCAGGGAATACAAAAAGTAAGAACAAGAAGATTCGTGGCAGTTTCAAGCCGCCGAAACATAAGGCGGAGTCGAGGTAACTGACGGTGTTCTTGCCAAGAGATAGACGGCGTGGGTGTTGCACGTCCATCGTGGTTTTGTCCAGTTTGATTCTGTATACTGCCATTGTGTGTGGTGGTCACATGTTTTTCAGAAGCAAGCATAATTCAGACTTTCAAATTATGGATACATCTTCACTTCAATGCCAGTGTTATAAAATTGTGAAATTTGACTTTGTTGAGAGACAAACTATAGAAAACGAGGAAGTTGTCGTGAAGGAACTAATTTGGTTTCTTTCTGTAGTTACATGGACATTAGATACATAGAGCTGCAATCTCACTAAGAATAACACTAAAGTATGGCTGAATTCGACAGACAAGACATTTAGCATGACAATTGAAGACCTAAAAGGAAAAGTTGAATTTTATTGTATATATTTGCAGTGATTACTAACAAAACTGGAAAGTGATCTAAATTCATGTGTGTCAAGGTTTGAAGTTAAAACATTGTTCTTTTCTCTAAACTGCAGAAAAATAAACTAATTTTATAAGTATGTGTCATATCATCCTCCCATACCTCCTATAATGTAACATGCTGTGAACCTGTTTTGTACTACACTACTAATGAAAACAGAATAGGCATACCTCGTTTTATTGCGCTTCGCAGATATTGCATTTTTTTACAAATTGAAGGTTTCTGGCAACCCTGCGTCGAGCAAGTCCATCGGCACCATTTTTCCAACAGCATGTGTTCACTTCGTGTCTCTGTGTCACATTTTGGTAATTCTCGCAATGTTTTTTAGACACTTAATAGACTACAGTGTAGTGTAAACATAACTTTTATATGCACTGGGAAACCAAAAAATTTGTGTGACTCGCTTTATCGCTGTGGTCTGCGACCGAGCCCACAATATCTCCGAGGTATGCCCATACAAAGTATATCTAGGGAGACGTGTTCTCAGAATAGTCTGTGCACCATATTGTGATGTACACCACAAAACTTTTCCTATTATTTCTTTTGTTCTGTGGACTAAAATGTTCAGGTAACTCAAAAATATAATTGAAAAACTTACACATTGTAAGCAGTCCACTTATTCCGACTCCTGTCACATTTTCAATGTGCCCATTTTACGTGCATTGTAAGAGATGAGGACATTTTTCAGAACGTTCATATTCCCACATTGAATTCAACACTATAACACAAGACACAAATTGTAACAGATATAATTAATAAAAAATTAAAATTCACAGCACAACAATGCCATGACAGTATTATATGACCTTGATTATGGCTGCTGGTAACTCAAGTCATGGCAATGCAGCACTGTAAACAGAGCTGCATGGTAAGGAGTATTTTTGTATCATGGCCTTGAAGCATCCAATTTTGTGATGTCTTCTATAACTCCATGATACAGAGTGGTCTTGAGCAGTTAATATGTGTTCAGCTGGTCAAGAAATTCTCTGCTTTTATGGAACCCTAAATTTAATACTGTTTTTACAAAAGCCTGCTACTGGACGCTGTCTTGAACCAGCTAAATTCAGACAACACCGTAATTCTTTAAGGTACATTTGATATTGTCCTGTTTACACACAGGTTCCCAAGTGTGAAAACATTATTCCTGACACCAATGTTCCCTCTAATTTATACGATGTCTGTGGAGAAGAAATATTTTCATAAACAGGGAAATAACCAAGCTGCAGATTTTCTTATATTCATATATGCAAATAATCAGTTTTACAAACATTAAGTTATGATTATTATTTTACAGCTTTATTTTTATAAATATTATGAGCAATAAAATGCTGTACTTTCGTCTACTATCAATGAATAAACATATGAAACAGAGGATGGCTGTCTTCTGGGTTGTAGCACATGTAGCCTGGTAGAAGTTTACCAGCGTTTCAGAGGTCCTTGCTGCCTCCATCATCTGGTGTTGAGGGACTTATCACCTTTATGATGGAGGCAGCAAGGACCTCTGAAATGGTGGTATACTTTTACCAGATTACATCAGTCATTATAGTGACTGACTATGGACTGGACGACCGGGGTTCGATCACTGATGGAGGCAGAGGATTTTCCCTCTAGCCTCTGCGGTGAGACCGGCTCTGGGGCCCACCCAGTTTCCTATCCAGTGGGTACCGGGGTCCTCTCCCGGGGGTAGAGCATGACCAGGGCGTGATGCTGACCATTCCTGTCTAGTGCCAAGTTTAAGAATAAGTAGGAGCTATACCTCTTCCCCCCCAAGCATCTACACAGTGTACAGCCTTTTATACAGCACAGCACTACAATCCAGAAGACAGTCATCATCTTACTCACTACCATCAAAACCTCAAATCCTTTATGTACAATTCATCCAGAGCAGTGGTCCCCAACCTTTTGAGAGTTTATGAGATCGTGGCGGGCACCAACCAATTAACAAAGCCAAATTTTCTTTTCTCTGGACAAATAAGGTATGGACACCAAATAATACACAAAACAACACAATGTTTAATGATACAAGAAACCGCGCAATCAAGAATACGTAGTTTTGTAAGTACAATTAATATTACTCAAGTGGGAAGTTAGTGTGATGTTTGGCGCTGCATTTCATCGGCCAGTTTTTCAAATTTGGGAGTGTAGGATGATGTTGCTGCTCGCAAACAATCGTCAAGACGGTCGTCAGTAAGTCGAGATCTGTGCTTTGATTTTATAATGTTCATGGTTGAACGGCCTTCATTATTCAGTATAACCTCTTTCTGTATCAACGCGGGCACCCAAAAAAAGCCTTGGCGGGCGCCACGTTGGGGACCACTGATCCAGAGGCTCTTTTTCTATGGCAGAGTTAATGTACTCTACAAATCCTTGCCATCTTTCAGGATGTATATACTCGGCCACATGATCATGAATGTCCTGTAACCTATACCCTCAATTTTTGATCTTGTGTTTCAGTAAGAATTCATGAAATTCTACCCATTCTTAGGTTTTGTAACTTAATAATGGAATCCATGTGTACTTTTTTTGCTTCAAATACTACTTTTGGTAGTCCTGTTCCTACTCATTCCACATTTTACCATTCAAAGCATATACTTCTTATGACAATCATTTTTTCAATAAATGAATATGTCTCCAGTCTTCACCTTTTGTATTTATTCTGAAGACAGGATTTCTGTTTCAGTGATTTTGGAAAGCCATTCTTTTTTTATCAATGAACAAGATTTCTTCTTTGTGGAGCTTGAAGTTTAATTTCTTTCTCTTTTTGACAGGTTAAGAAGGTTCTAAGTGATGATTCAACCGCCAGGGCGGTCTAGCGGTCAGAACGCTGGGCTTGGAATCCGTGCCCGAATTTATAACTTGTGTTGGGCAAGGCCGTGGTCTAGGCAACACGGAGTTTTCCTCCGGGGGCTTCCCCGGTTTCTCCGTGGCATCCCAACAATTACTCCATTCACACACAGATGAAGGCAATGGCAAACCACTTCACATACTTAATTCCAGACCACTTTTTTCTCTACCATTATTTGTTTTTGTCCATTTTAAAACCAAAGTTTGCCAGCCTTTACTGCTCAATGAATTTTATGTGAATAATTTTCTTTCATCCATGCATAACTATGTTTATCAAGAAAGAAACCAGACAACTGACAATTGACGCTAAATTTGGCTCTATCAGAATTAGCTAGCCACTTCAAGGTTAACACTAAGAATGGTATAAAAAATGTAACTTTCTTTCAGTTGCCTGTGGAGAAATTCTGCCCCCTCTGCCACAGGTATTCTCCAGAAATAGGGGAAGGTATTTAGAAGATGGAGTTTGGATCATATCATGCTGATTACAATTATGCCACCAGAAAATATTAGTGACAATCATATCAAGAAACGCTAGTCAAAAAGTCCTGTTAAATTCAACGAACGATTTCTTTTATTTTGTACATTTACTTTGTAAATTTTGCTATGTAACAAACTGAAGATTACAAATTCATTTTTTGTCATAAGAACATTGGTAAGCACAAGTGGTCCACAAGGAGCTCCAAAATTTGCATCATAAATAAGGCGTAAAAGAGAAAGCTGTTTAATGGTACGTAACAGCACTTGTCAAATTAAACAGTCATCTAGTCTTGTTGCCAAGAATGTGGTCAGTCATGCGTAAGACCCAAATAGTCATAAGAAGTATATTTTTTATCTATGTTGGGAAACTATAATGAGTAATATATATTTATGCAGAGAATGTAATCATTTTTGTAACTAGCATGCCATATATATATAGTGTGTCCACAAAGTCCCTTCAGGGTTTTGAAAAATTGTGGTGCGCAAACAAATTGAGCTAGCCACATGCGGTTTGTGGCAGATTACAGTAAAACTCTGGAAGTTTTTTACTGACCTCAGTAGACCTCGATGTGGGCTCCCTTGGTAGCACGGAGAACGTCCAGACGATATTCGAGCTCTTGTCATGTTCTGTGGAGCATGTCCGCTGGAATAGCCGAGATCGCATTCCTGATACGGGTCTTCAGGTCATCAAGTCCGTTAACTGGTGTTCGGAACACATTGCTCTTGACATAACCCCACAGGAAAAAATCCAGCGGTGTTATGTCTGGTGAACGTGGAGGCCAAGGCATTGGACAGTCTCTGCCGATCCATCTTCCTGGAAATGTCCTGTCTAGGTACGCGCGTATCTGCAGAGCCCAATGAGGTGGAGCACCTTCTTCTAGAGTTTCACTGTAATCTGCCACAAACCGCATGTGGCTAGCTCAATTTATTTGCGTACCACAATTTTTCAAAACCCCAAAGGGACTTATGTGGACTCACTGTATATAAACACACATTACTGATATACTTTAGAAATATATATATACGTTTTGTGACTCAAAGTATGAACGTGATGTTTGCATAAAGGATCTTGGAACTGGGTGAATTTACCAGAAATTTTGACATGAACTTTTAGTGTTCTATTTTCATACACTTTAAGGAATTTTAATAATTTATAATAGACACTGCATAAGAATGTTGATTTATTAACTGTTAAATTTATACTTGTAAAATTGTAAATTAACTTAATGTTACATTTCATCTACTTTCATGTACCTTTCCTTCATAACTTTCAGGGAACTCTCCTTCAGAACTGCATGGCTGAGAGCTGTTGAAATTGTATCACATCTGCAAAAACACAGAACATTATCTGTAAAGCTATGTTCCTCATAAATGGGGTAACAATTTTTGTTTTTATAAATATTAACACTCGGATGAGTAAACATACTGGTATATACTGGGATACTTGGACGACCCGTTCTTCAAGTGCCTGAGCA